GCCATGGCTTTCCGCAGGAGGACGAAAAGTTACCCGCTCTTCAGCCAGGAGTTCGTCATCCACAACCATGCGGACATCGGCTTCTGCCTGGTGCTCTGCGTCCTCATCGGGCTTATGTTCGAGGTGAGCGAGACTGGGGAAGGGGGGTGCCCTTTCTTGTGCGACGCCCGGCAGATCCCTGCAGGTCCCCGGGATCCTCGTCTGAGCTGGGACGCGGGGCTGCCATGTACGTTTTCTGCACCCCTGGCTTTGTGCACTGTACCCCGTTGGCCTCCTAGTCAGCCCAGACACCACCTCCCTCCCCCACCCCCGCCAGCTCCGCGGACCCCTTGGGCACCCACCATATCCTGCAGCTCTCTCTGCAGCTCTGAATCCTACGCGTGGCCTCGAACCAACCGCAGCACTGCCACTCTGGCCCGACCAGTGGGGTTTCCTTTCTGGTGTCCGGGAGCCAAGCCCGGAGACTCCCAGACCCGCAGTCATTGCACAACTCCGTCTCCCAAGAGGAGGCTGCCAGCTCTTCCGGGCTTTTCCAGTGGGAGGGACCCCGACCCTTTTCCACCTCCCACCGTATTTTCAGGGTCTTTTGCATCTTCAGTTTTGGAACGTTGCTAGGAGTCTTCACGTGGTGCCCTGGCCCCATACCAGCAGTGCCCTTCTGCCGCCCTCCCCACGCGGCCCCTCCACCTTTTTTTGCTCTTGCCTAAAACGCCAGTTTTCATATACCCTTTATCACTCTGTGGACTGTTCCTTTAGATCCGTCTTTGGTGGACCCAGAGCTTCTCCCCGTTACAGGGCCAAGGATAGGGACCGGGATGCCCTCAGCTTTTAGGGAAAAGGTGATGCTCTCAGAGCTGTGAGAGTATCAGGGAGAAGACGGAGTCCTACCCACCCCACAGCCACGAGCTACTGCAGGCCTCACAGAGCTGAGACTTTTAGTAAACCCCAGGGGGTCAGGATCCCAAGGGTGTGATGGAAAAGGACTTCCTGCACCCAAGAGAGGGAAAAAACTGATATTCAAAAATGAGAAGAACTGGAGGAAACTGAGTATAGGGCTTGCTGTGGTATATCTTGTCTCAAGAGTGAGATACGTCAGTGACACTCCCGTCACTATCACAGTGGTCTTCTCTGAGGCAGAGCCTTGTCCTCCCTTGTGGGTAGGGTTGCTTATCTGCATTCTCAGGAATAGGATTAGGAAGCTGTAACCATTTGTAAACTAACTTGTAGATGGAGAATTCCTAGTGTGGCTAATTTCTCCTTCTGTGTCTCTGTCTCTGGGCTCCCTATCCCCTCTCTATGGATGACAAGGGTCCTACTTGGCCAGTGAAGCTGTCCTCAAGCTGGAGACATTCTTGTGGTGGCCGAGTCGGGGTTAGATGGGTGAAGGTCCCTGGCTGGGCTTCAAGGTCTGTGGGAAATAAACCTGAGACTAGGATTGGGATCTGCTCTTCAGGTCTTGGTAGTGCTCCTTTATTTCAATCCCTCCCTTCTTTCTCCCATCCCTGCAGCTCTAACGATATATTGGAAAGGGCTTTGTCAAGCCAGGGTTGTTCCTGTGTCCTAGTCCCTGCTCTGTCACGAGTCTTTCTCTGCTGCCTCAGTTTCCCCATTGTTAGTAAAAACTATCTTTCTCATGGGCTTATTGTAAGATTTAACTGAGATCATGTAAGCAACAAAAGCCGTAACATATTCTACAAATGTGAAAAGTCACTTACTCCTGAGGTCCTGGTATTATTTATCATAATAATAGTTTAACAAAATAAGAGAGAATATGTTTTGTCCAGCAAATACCCTCTGTCCTATTTGTATCTATTTGCTGTCCTCCATTCTAAGAGGCCTCCCAGTGCCGTGTCACCAGTCTTGGAGGGTGTGGTTGGAAAGACACACGTGACAGCTGTAGACCTCATAGCCACACGCTCTGCAGCCAGCGAAGTCTCTTGCATAGCCTTATGGTTCTCTCTGATGTATTTCTGGCATTTGTTAAGATTTGTGGCTCTACTTGCTCTATCTTTGTTCAAAAAGAGCTGCCTAATATTTAAGCTTGGTACATCCTGCCTTCCCTGCAGGATGTCCAGTGTATTAAACCTGGCATTCTGAGAGTTGAAAAATACTAGGAGCCGTTACTCCGAGTACCTAACAAAAGAGAAAGGCCCAAAGAAGGAAACAACAACAACAACAACAACAAAACTTTTCTCCACCTTTTGTTGGATTTGGACTAGGGAGTATGGAACAGGCCTTGGCTGACATACTTGCAGGCTCCCTCTTCCTACGACCCTCATCCTGTAGAACCTTGGACCTGTGTCTCTGGGCTTACAGGGCAGGAGTCTCGTTCTGGAAAGTACATTGTGGGATTGCTGGTATGTGCTGGTCTGGGAGAAGGAGGGTTGTGCAGCACCTCCCTTATGAAGGATGTGTGTCCTGCTGTGCTATGTATATAGTAGATTCTCATTGTCTATACCTGCTGAGTCTCCACAGAGATAGGTATTTGGAAGGGAACTCAGATTTTTGGAACTCTGCTT